ACGCGGGCCCCCGAGAGAGGATGCCCAGGCGGCCTCGGCCGCCCGCCTCGGCGCGGCGCGCTGGAGGCGGGCGCCGCCTGGCCGCCCCGCCCCCGCTTGTGAGCCGAGAGGCGGGGGCGCGCGCCAAGGAGCACGGCGCGGCGCCCTGGGCAGGCGGCCCCCGGGAGCGCTTTGCCGGCGGGCGCGCGCGGTCCTCCTCCTCCTCCTCCTCCTCCTCCTCCTCCTCCTCCTCCTCCTCCTCCTCCTCCTTGTTGAGCAGGCTGCTGGGCGCCACGGCTTGTCCTCCTCATCCTTCTCCTCCTCCTCCTCCTCCTGCTCCTCCTCCTCCTCCTCCTCCTCTCCCGCCTCCTCCTCCTTCTCCTCCCACACTCCTCCTCCTTCGTCTCCTTCTCTCCTCCTCCTCCTCCTCCTTCTCCTCCTCCTCCTCCTGCTCTCTCTCCTCCTCCTCCTCATCCTCCTCCTCCTCCTCCTCATCATCATCATCATCATCATCTGCACCTCCACCACTCCGCCCACCCCCCCTCCTACTTTCGGTCGACCCCTAAGAGGGCCCAGCTGAACCCCACAAGGAGGTCAGCAGGACCCCCTTTTCAAGGGGGTGGGGGGAGGGGGGAAGGCTTCTTAGAAGGAGGCTGTTTCTAAGAAGGCGCGGGCCTTACATCTACAGACAGGACCCGCCGCTTCTTATAAGAAGCCTTTCTCCCTTCCCCTACCCCCTACCCCCTCTTGCGCGTGGCCGATTCACCACTCCGCCCCCCCTCCTACTTTTTGGTCGACCCCAAAAGGGGTTCAGCTGGACCCCATTTTCAGCTGAACCCCAAAAGGGGCTCCTACTTTTGGTCGACCCCTTTTCAGCTGAACGCCAAGAAGGGGTTCGGCTAAAAAGGGGGTGGTGCAGTGGATTTGGGGCAAGTGTACTGCAGATGTATTGCGCCGGAGAACTGTATTGCGTTGTGCTACAACTAGTGCATGGCACGCGGAAATCCAGCAATACACTTTGCACATCCGAATGTATGGCACGCCCAAAATCTACTGCAACCCCACAAATTTGTTGCACCAAATCTACTGTTCCATCCTCTTTTCGCTGGACCTCCGGTCGTGGGACGCACAGAGACGCAATAGTACTGTATGTCCTCCTTGGAGGCGCGCGTCCGACCCGAACATATAGCATACCCATTTTGTAGAATGCCGTTTCCCGAGCGGTGTGGCCAGAAAGCGCCCGCCACGACGCATGTACTACAAGATTTCTCGGTGCGCGCGTCGCCCCTGGGGGGGGGGAGGGGGGGGCGAAGCACACATAGTATCAGTATTAGGTCGGGCGTGTCGCCCTACAGGCGGATTTTGATTTTGGACGAAAACTAAACAAATACCCAAAACTTAGTCAACAATATTCAAGAATAGCCGAAAAATCGTCTCCTGATGATTTTTGGACTATTTTTGAACATTCCTCCTGTAGAGGGACAGGCCCGACTTAATATCAGTATGCTGGGGTGACGCCGATGTTGGGTCAACCAGCTACTTGTTCCCAGTGGCGCTGCGGGCACTGCAGGGCTCAGCGAAGCGGGCCGCCACGACGGACGGCCGCAACGTTCTGCTCCGACCCCCCGGCCCAGCCGGGCCTGCTCCGCGCGGAGGATGCCATGGACGCCCTGCTCCGGGGCCTTCAACGGCCAACCTCCTGGGCCCTCCCCCTCCCAGGCGAGAGGAGGAAACAACGGCATGAACACACACTTTGGACGGTACGCGCGGAGTTCTTGGATCTACGTTGGACCCCCTCCCTGGCGCGCGGAGCGCGCCAGGGGCGGCGCCAGAGGCGCCGCCAGGGGGGTCAAGCGCGGATCCAAGAAATCCGCGCGGAGCTCCGAAAGTTTATGCTTGTGCCGTTTTCTTCTTCGGCAAACGCAGTTCCTCGATCTTGCCATCGTTTGCCTCTGACTGGGTGGTCTCTCTGTCTGCTGCACATTGGGGCCACCAGCGGTCGGCGGTGGGTGTAGCCAGGCCCCCGGTGCTGCCCGAACTCCACTCCAGAGAAATTTGTATTTAGGGCATCTGGGCGCGACCCTTGCAGCCAGCCGGCGCTCCGTGTTACCAGAACTCTACTGCTGGGGCCGATTTGACCATCCGGGTGCAACTCCCCTACGGGCCTGGCCCTTCGTGCTTCCAGACCTCCATTCACGGGAATTGCTTTGATCATCTGGGTGCAACCACTGCAACTGGCCTGCTCGTCGTGTGGCCCGAGCCCCATTCCTGGGACTGATGTTGGTGAGAGTCCGGAACCAGCTGTCTAACTATTGGTGCTCTTCAGGTTACCAGAGCTTGAATGTAGCCCAAACCAAAGCTCCAGCGCAGTTGCAGCTCCAGCCCAAATTCCAGCTCGAGCCCAGATCCTCCTCCAGGTTTAGCTTCAGCCCAACTCCAGCTCTAGCCTTCTAGCTCGAGCCCAACCCCAAATCCACCCCAGCCCCAGCTCCAGTTCAAATTCCAGCCCCAGCTGTTTCTTCAGCCCTAGCCCCGAAAACAGCTCGAGCCCAACTCCAGCCCTCAGTCCAGCGCATCGAAGCGGGGGGGAAATCTAGCCAGGAGCCCAGCGCGCCCAGTCAACTTCAAAGGGACCGCTCAACAAAGACAACACAAATGCGCGTATCAATATTGCAACAACCGCTTAACGATGACATATCATCAAAAGCCACTGGGAAGCGTCGCGGCAATTGCGACCAGACTTGACGGTATCTATTTCCAAACTGAAACTTTCCGCGCCGGCAATAAGACAACGCGCCTGTGCGCTCAGTGGAATGGCGGCAAGAACATATTGCCCCGTCCGATGCTCCACCACGCCAGATGCGCTCGGGCTATTGCTGCAGTGGAAAGCTAAAAACCAATCCAATCCATTAGAACCTTGTAAAATATTCGAAAACACCAGGCACACCCGACCGTATCCGGAATGGTGAGAGGTTCCGTCTGATTCTAGCACCAGATGCGCAGGGCGATCGCTGTCTTGAAAACTCTAGACAGAGTTCGAATCACGCACATGAAAACTTGCACCATCCGAAAACATCATCAACCCGACCACACTCTATGTCAAAAGAAAGCGGGGCCACTTGGCGCGGGTTCTTGCTGCGCGTATCTGGTGCGGTTAAAAAACAAACCAGGTTCGGGCGACATCAGCAGATTCTTCCAATAGACCGCAAGCGCGCACGGCGCGGCGAAAGCCACTGTCCGCGCGCCTGCGGCAAACTCTTGCTTCGGCGCCACCCAGACGCGCAGCGACTGGATTTCTTGCGTTGCGCAGGGCCCCCAGGCACTTGCTTCAGGAAGCTCCCAGGAAAACTTCGCGAGGCATTGCCCTCAACACATTCGCTGCAAAAGGTCTGCAAGCGGCGGGCAGAAGGGCGAACAATGGCGAGTGCTCTCGCGCGAACCCGGCGGAAGTAAAGACTTGCGAACATTGCGATCGGAACTCGCCCCGCCCCTGAGCTCCCAGCAACCCGAGGTCACAGGGCCGCACAAGTCTGGCCACAATTACCGAAGCAAAATTGTAGTCGCGTCGCGGAGAGCTTGCACCCGCCCTCCAAAGTTGAGGCCAGCGTATCGAGGTCCGCGCGCGGGGGGGGCATCCAACAAGGAGCACAGCGCGCCCGTCAACAAAGTGTACCCAAATCCGACCTTTAACTTTGCAGAGGCCGCTCGACGATGGCGCATCGTCAGAAGCCACCTGCCGGCGTCGAGTTAATTGCGACTGGTTTCGTAGCGCCAGTAACAGCTCCAGCCCAGGCAGCCCCCAGCTCAGCTCCAGCCTCAGCTCCAGCCCAAATTCCAGCTCCACACCTGGCTCAATTTCAGTTCCAATTCCAGCCCTAGTCCCAGACCGTGCGGCCTGGGAGCTGAACCGTTATATGTATATATATATATATGTATATAGATGTATATGTGTGTATAGGTGTGGATATGGTTCATATATATATATATATATATGGCTGATATATGTTTATATGTGTCTGTGCCGACCTAGATGTGTAGGTGAAAATATAAGCATAGGATCCGATGGCCTGCGAGCTGAATGGATGTGCTTCTACCATCGGGCTCTATGGCCTATAACTACGGGTGAAAGCGAAGCGTGTGTCCAGACATCTGGCAAACCCAGACCTCGCAAACGTAACACATTCATTATGTCATACCTGCTCGTCTGGGCCTCCAGGGGCTTCCCGCGGGGCCCCACCCGCATCCTGGCAGCCCAGAACGCGACACTTGCGAGGATCTGGACTCTCGCGGAGGCTTGATACTTGAAACCAGATGCTTTTACATCGGATCTCATGGCCAGGGACCTCGAACCAGATGCCCAACATCGGACTCGAAGGCCAAAGAACTACGGACGAAAAAGAACCCGTGTCCAGGAACTGGAAAATCTGGATACCACAAACGCAACGGATTCCGAATTAGAAATTGTTTTGCTTTCCCCTGGCGGGGCTTGCATCCCAGCGTCCCGTGATGCGACAGTTACAAGGATCTGGAACCTCGTGGCGGCCTGGGAGCTGACAAACCGCTGTTCCTCAAGATCACACGACATGGGAGCTGAACATGTGCTGTTGCAGGCGACCATAAAGGCGACACTTACGAGGATCTGGACTCTCGAGGGGGGGCCTAGAAGCTGAAAACCATGTGCTTCTACATAGGATGATATGGCCTAGGATTTGAAACTATTTGTCCGACAAATGGTCAGATGGCCTGGGAGCTGAACCACGTGCTTCTCAAAAGGATGCTACGGCCTGGGAGTTGAAGCCATGGGCATTTCACGTAGGATCCTATGGACTGGCAGCTGAAGAGATATTCAAAACAAATGGGCTGGGGGCTGAATACATGTATTTTTGCCATCCCACTCCATTGTCTGGGAACTACGGGTGAAGAGAAGCCGGTGTGTCCAGAAATCTGGACATTCATGGCCTCGCAACCATCACCGATTCGTTGTGCGAAGCTTGCTCGTTTGGGCCTCCCGGGGCTTCCCGTGGGGTCCCCAGCATCCTAGCGGTCCAGGATGCGACAGTTACGAGGCTCTGGACTCTCACGGTGGCCTGGGAATTGAAACCATGTGCTTTTAATCGGATCCCTTGGCCTGGGAGATAAGACGATCTGTTCTCCTACAGCAGATCCCATGGCCAGAGAGCTGGAACATTGTGCTTTATCATGGGGGCCCAGAGGCGAGACATGAACGTCTTTGAAATTGAAGATCCATCGTGGGGCCATTCGCTTTTCGAGAACAAGGCCGAGGGGGAGGGGGTCAGCTTCCGGCGACAGCCTAGTCGAAGTGATTAAGCCACTTGTGCAATCTCAGAACTGGCCGATTCTACATCTTAAACTGTCCGCTACCGTGCCCCTTGACGGTCTGTGGAGGGATACAAAACCATGAACGCCTGGCTGGCATTCTGTTATTGGGAGGCCCCTCTTCCCTTCTCACCTCGCCCTCCCGCTGGCATCTCACTCCCCTCGGCCTCCTTCCCAGCGCCCTTGGCATCCCCAGGACTGCCCCGCAGAGACCCTCGCTGCGCTGCACCTGCCGGCTGCAGTGCTCCTCCACCGCGGACAGCTCCTTGCGCGTGCACGCTGGCGTCGCCAGGCCGCTGTAGGAAGGCAGCGGCCCGGCGGGCGAAAGAGGACGCCCTGGTCGCCGGCCAGCTGTGGCCCGCAAAGGTCCGGGGACATCGCCCGCGGTGGCCGCCGTGGCCCGCGGACCGCAGTGCGGCTCGCCCGTGCCAAGCCCCGGGAGCCTCACGGAGCGATCCGGCCCGAAAGGCGCGGCACGGAGACGGGTGCCGAGCCGGTTGTGATGTTTCACGTTGTCTGGGATGGTTCGCAGGACCGGATGTCGGTGCGACGGGAAAACTATGAATGCACAGACTGCAGGCAGGAGCGGATGGAAGCGTGAACTACAGCTTTATCCGGCGCCAGTCTGCAGCAATATCCTGCGGGTCGTGGCGACAGCAGCCCTACACTGCTCCTGCATCGAGCACTACTCTATCTGCAATTCGTGGCAAAAAATGCGCCCTTGTCGTCTTGCAAGGGATTCCGGAATGAACGCAGCCCGAAACGCGTACAACCACTGCGAACGCTCGGACGAGCACCAGCGATACGGTCGGCTCACAGTCACGCCGATATGGTGACAGGGCCTCGTGCTTGAATAGCTCAGTCACTTGGTCAGATCTCACACTTGCTCAAGAGGTTCACTCCGCCCTGAAGGATCATGCGCACAGCTTGAAGCACCTCCCCCATCCACGAGCGCATCCATCCACGAGCACATCCCCTTACTTAGCAGGCCGCTGTGAAAGTCAGACTGCTGCCAACATTATCCCGATTTGTCATTTGGCCAAGGGCAATAATCAGTCACAAGATGCAGAAGGACATAATAGTGCTCTGTGTCACCCACCCGACTCTGGGAGAGGCGCAGATCCGAACGGAGCACATGCGCTGACCCTGTCGGCGTGTGTGAGACGCTTTTCCGTTTGAGTCGCCGTCTTCACCCTCCCCCTGTCCCTGGGCCGTCCTCCTCAAGCGACCCACCCAGACGAAACTCGAACACCGTCGTAATCGAGTCGAAGGGGAGCCTCTTCCTTCCCTTTGATCCCTTCTCCGGGCGGGGGAGGAGGTCCAGGGGGGGCCTGGGGGGCGTCGCCCCCCCCCCCCCCCCCCCCCCCCCCCCCCCCCCCCTCCCCCCCCACCTCCCTCCAACCCGGGGGGATGTCCTGGGGGTCGTGACCCCCCCCCTCCGAACAAGACGGCCCAACAGAGCCCAATAGAGCCGCAGGAGGAGGAACACCGATCGAGCCGAAGGGAAGGAAGGCCCTTGATACATTCCCGGCCGGGGGGGGGCGATCCCAGGAAGGGATCGCTGGGGGCGGTCCCAGAGGGGGTCCCGAGGCCAACAGACTCCACAAGGGCCCCCACGAGGGCTCGCGAGCGTCGTTTTGTCGCCTTCGTCGTCTTCGTCCCCATCCAGGGTCGGCGGCACCGGCCGCAAGGCCTCACGGTACACACACACACACACACACACACTCTAACATTATGCTATCAAAGCGGAATTGCCAGACCGCGCCCGCCACGGAGCCTATACTACAGTGTATGTATGCGCGCCTCGTGCATGCAGGCGTGACGCGCAAATTGCAACACGTAGGAGTCCAACCAATTCAATTACGGTCACACAAACACCATAATAACCAACAAACAAACAAACAATCAGGTGTATATATCCACCAGAAGCAGCCGTCGTGACAGCAGCACTGGCAGTAATCATAATGGTCTCGGCGGAAACGCCAACACATGCAAACATATTGTTTAGCATGGCGCTGGTCGAACAAAACAGCATGCTACCTGGCCACTCGCACTTCTGCTAGTTGATACACCTTCACCAAATGACAGACGACATGATTATTATACATCTGCTTCGATGTGAGGGGACGGGCCCCGCATTCAACTGCCCCTCTGGAAAACTTGGGCGCTTGCAAAACGGCCAACCAGGCCACAGCAGCAAGCGACAAACAGCCAGCGACGACACCAGATTTCACCGTAGATCAGGGCCACAACCCAACCACTCTCCCTACTTCAAACCCCACGACGTCCGCCAAAACAACTAGAGTCTGTCCACCCCACAGATCAGACTTCCCCTTTCCTCTTATGAAATCCGCCACCCTTCGGCGTGTGTGAGACGCAGTCGTCGTCTTCGTCGTCGTCGCCAGTCCCAACAAAGTCGAGGAACGAACATAAAAAAACGTCGTAGTTACGTCGATTACATACCCTTTCCCCCTTCCCTGACTGGGGGGAGAGGGGTAGGGGGTGGGGAGGGGGACGGGGGTGGAGGAGGGTAGGGGGCTAGGGGGGGTAGGGGGTGGGAGGGGTAGGCAGGTAGGCAGGTAGGTACGTAGGTAGGGGAGGGGGGGTCCCAGATCGGATTGCCACCCCCCAGGGGTCCCAGCGGAAGAGGCGCCGCTTCGCGCGCTGCCAGGCCAGAGGTGCATGGTCTGAGGTGGTTATGCTGGGAAACGAACGCGCTGAGCTATATAAGAACGGGCGAGAAAATCCGAACATCACGAACCTCAAACCTCCTCGCTCCTCGCTACGCGGTGACAGCCCTCTTTTTTTTAAAGCAGGCGATCGACAGCACAGGCCAGAAGCCAATCATATTAGCCTGGCGAAGGACCCAACCATATGCAGTTGTGAGTGAGTGCCGCAGTCGTGCGTATCGTCTTCGGTGGAGCTCCTTGTTGGGGGGGGGCGCATGAAGGGTGTGCCAAAGTGGGATGGCGGCGACACGCGGACCCTGCCACTGGGGCCTTCGGTGGAGCACCATATGAGAACCACGTATCGCGTGAGGGGTGCGCCGAACTGGGGGTGGAACTGCATGCGGACCCTGCCACTGGAGCCTTCGGTGGACCACCCTATGGAGGACATGCGGAGGGCAGAGGCAGGGGGAGGGGAGGAGGAAGAAGGGGGAGGAGGAAGGAGGAGTGAGTGCGTGACGCGGGGCGCTGTCTCTTCAAAACGAGGACCCAACACCACAGGACGGTTGGGAAAAGGGTAACATCGAGGCCAACGACTTCGCAAACATGGCTGAAGCAACAAGTTCGGAACTGCAAACAAGGGCGCGTGCCAGCGACTTACGAATATTTCAAGATGTATGCGCTTCGCGGTTAAAGGGCAGCCCTGACAGAGGCCTGGTCGTTATTCGCATACACAATGTCTTTTAGATGTTAACATCCGAATGTTCGGCCCCTACACGCCTTGAACAGAACACACATTTCAGAGTAACGTGGTACGTTCCTCATGGAATCCTGCAACTAAGTCACCTCAAGGTTCGCTCGCTTTGCCAGTACCGATCCAAACGCCAGGGAAGCGGCGCACAGGAATCTCTCATGCGCATGAAGAGGATCAAGAGGGAAGGAAGAACGGAGGAACGGGATAGTGCCCTGGCAAGTGAAAGCGGCGAGCGGCGTTGCGGCCCCGAGCGACCAGTACTAAAATCCAGCACCACATGAGGCGTGAATGCGAAGACGAGGAACAGGAGGAGAAAGGGCCACGGCGCTGTGGGGAGATCCCCTGCGGACCAAACGGCCACTTCCACAATGAAAAAAACGCAGGAGGGCACCCTAAAGGGGGATAAAGAAGGAAGCGAAGAACGAAAGACAGAGGAAGACAATTTGCAGTGAGCAGGGGCGACAACCAAGGTAGGAACAACAAAACACAATCCTATCTACCCGAATGCCGCCGCGAAGAGTAGTAAAGTACAGGACGGGGCGCAGGAAAGGAACATGGCATGGACGCTAGGTCATAGCCAAGGGCTCCACCGGCGGGCCATACATCCTCGAACAGTACGAATAAGCACCGTCTGGAGCAAAGAAAGTCAAAGGATGCGAATTCGTGTGCGACGTCCGCGACGCACCGTCACCGAGGTCAGCAATATCAGCAACAGCAACATCATAATCGTCATCATCATCAGCAACAGCAGCATCACACATCATCATCATCATCATCATCATCATCATCATCATCATCATCATCATCATCATCATCATCATCATCATCATCATCATCATCATCATCATCATTATCATCATGATCATCATCATGATCATCATCATGATCATCATCATCATCATCATCAGCAGCATCATCAGCATCATCAGCATCAGCATCAGCATCAGCATCATCACCGAGGTCAGCATCATCATCAGCAGCAGCATCATCATCTGCATCATCATCATCATCATCATCAGCATCAGCAGCATTACCATCATAATCGTTATCATCGTAATCAGGAGCAACATCATCACAATCATCACCATCACCATCATCACCATCATCATCATCATCATCATCATCATCATCATCATCATCATCATCATCATCATCATCATCGTCATCATCATGCCCCCCTCCTCCCCCTCTTCCCTCCTCCCTCCTCCCTCCTCTCCGTCCCTGCTCGACTTCCGGCCCAAGGTAGCCGCACGCTCCCAGGGGT